CTTATCACGACAAGTGAGATCCGTGTTGAAGATTTTTATTATAAATTATATTTATTATATTACTAATTGTTTGTTTTCCTAGGCGTCCTTTTCAAAGTCAATTCATTATCTGTTCACGAGAAATACATCTTTAGAACACCGAAATAATTGTTATTTCGATGACTTTGTCTCATCTTCATAGAACAAATATAAGATACGACTTTAGCGAATAGAGTAAAATCTTTAATATAAGTAAATTTACAATCGATTAAGCGAAATGGCATCGAACTACTAAATCTAACAATTAAACCATTCGAGGAGAGTATTTTCTATAGAATTCCGTACGTGTTCAATAGAAACTCAAGAGATTGAATGAAAGGGTCGAAGAGTGGCGACGCGCAAGGAAGTCGTCGCGACGCGACGCCACCGTCCGATTCGAATCCGATTCGCGTTTGCGATATTATTCCGCGGAGCGGAACGTGCCTCGCCCTGAATCGCAGGGGCTCGAGTAGATGCCTCTCATCCCGGAGAAGTGGCCGCTGGGTATTTAAGAAGCATATTCCGTCCATTTGGCATTGTGCGCTGCCGAATGGACACTCTCCGCCGGCCGGCGAGCGCGGCAGGGGCGAGATCGAAGGATCGAGGTATTGATCGTAAGCGGCTTGGCCTGTGGGGACTTTACCTTTGTGCTCACGACCAACTCTATTCCGAGCCGATCCGCAAGTTCACACCTTGGCATAATCGGAGTATCCCGGAAAGCGGAACGCGTCCGACCATTACTGCCACGACATTTACACCGTAAGCGGAGCTCTGCGCACCCACTCGCCACAAAAGCGACCGTGCCGGCGGTGATTATGCGCGACGAAATTGCATGGACGCCAAAGAACGTAATCTTTCCACGAAGTAAAGCCACGTGGCCCACGCTGCTACGACTGTCGAGACACAAACTAAATTGGTGGTTTCTTTTTTCGATGAAAGGGAGGTTGCTGGCCAAACGTTTGGACTCAACCAGTCATTCTAGAGTAAAGGGTGTAAGAAATGCCTTTGAACCAAATAAAATCGATGGTGAAATATTAAAGGATTTCAGTAAGAACAGACTGTTACCTAAGAATTCTTGGTTAGAGGTCCACGTTGCAAAGATTTACAAAAGCAATGTTAAGATCTAAACAAATTCTAAGTCTCTACACAGTGTATTGCAACCATCGGCAGTCGATCGATGGACTCCAGATGACAAATATCTTAACGATGCCGATCACTTGTTCGAAATATCATTCGAAACTCAGATCCGGAGATACGGCGGCCGCCATTGAATCGATTTTCCTCGCAGAGAGCTACCGCGAGAGAAAACCGCCATTTGTAACAGCAATACGTAACGCGGAACCCCTGATTTGCCGTTTAAATCCGTTCTGGTTCGATGCGGGCCCCGGTGGGGTTGGCGTGACGTCGACTCGGAGAAAAAAGTCTGTTTTCTTTGCCGGTGTGGCGCGGCGCGGCGCGTAAATGCGTAACGTACGGTCCGCACCGCGCTTAGAGCGCGCGCGTGTGTGCGGATCGTATGTACATGTCGACACCCTCGCGGGGGACTCCATAATGTAAGTTCATCTCGACCGCGCTGATGCGTGTGTAATCCCGTGGTGCCCGCCGATAGCATCGTGGGTTTTATTTTCATTATTCATTTGTTCGACCGTTCCCCACGGACGCCTGGCCGAGCTTACACGCGTAACCCCGTGTTTCTATGTTGGTTTAATCAGATAAAACCCCGGAACGCCAAAAATCGCCGCGCACTAACCAGCCTATGCTACTTGCGAATCAGAGCTTTCATCCCCTGTAACGTCGATGTTCCTCAACGCGTTGCGCGTGTTATCTATGGGTACGCGTTGTCAGTGAGTTCTGTTGGTGGAGAATTTGTATGGCCTCTGCACACGAGAATCATTGGACGATGATGAGAGTATTGATGATATTCGAATTCTAATAATAAATAATCAAATTTTATACTCGGGAGGGTTATTCCTTGAAGTTAATATGATTTTATCAATGCTATTCAGTGACAAAAATGCGTTATTTGGAAATAGTAGTATAGAGAGCAATGGCGGAGAGAATTATTATATCAGTAAATACGTCGAGAGCCATAACGCAAGGTACTTTTGTCAAATTTATCTTGACAAACGGTTAATGTGTTTTGATAAGATTTCATAAAGTATTTAAGATTTTTCTATGAACTTCCATAGGAACATGAATTGATTGTTATAGGAATCGCAGAGCGAGATTTTTTTGTCTGCATTTTTACTGTCTTCAGCTGCTTCAAACAGTGGGCGGGACGTCGCAGGAAACGGTAGGTCACCGGAAAATGAGAGGAGAGAGGAAACGGGTGAAATATCAGAGATATAAGGTAATTAGCAGGGCAGCTCAGTTAATGCGAGAGTCCTGGTTTAACGAATCGTGATCGCGAAAAGTGCGACGACGCTTCGAAAATACATCTCGTTGAGTGTTAAGCAAGCCGAATGCACCGATCAGCCGGCCGTGAACAAGCGCCACTGATTTTTTCGAATAAAAACGGCGGAAGAGAACTTTTTCAGTGTGTTCGGAGCCGCGGCGACTGCACACGAGTAACACAGTTTCTAATGTGAACGGAAAAATTAAATCCTTACTCTGAAGCATTGATGTTTTCGTTATGCACTTCGAATCATTTGTCACATTTGATTCTGTTAGTCCTCTTATCAGTGCTAGAAAGAAACCATGGCTTTCGAGTAAAATTGTATTCGACTCTCCTAAAAATTCACTAATTTTGCATTTTATTTTTGTCGATCATCAATTACCTCATCCTTTGGAAACAAATGTTAACAAAAAGAAAGAAAAGAAACCCTCGCGCAGATGAAGAATTCTTCCCATGTTCCATTGTAACTTCAAACTAAATAAATATTCTTCCTAATAAAAAATTGTCTTATTCTTCAAAAACATTTCAAAAATCTTAATTTTTTTATCTGACAGTAAAAATATCTCCCAAACTTCAATAAAAAAAAAACCCTGCTCCCGAATCAACCCTCCTTATGAAACATCCCTTTATCGTTTCACCAGTGACTTACTAAAGACACTTTCATCGACGTCGATCGGGATACGTCTTCCGTTTTATCTTCGCGCATCTAACCAGCAAAGGTATTTTTTTCAGCGTAAATATCGGCAGAGCTATCGAGGCGACTTAAGGGAGGATCTCGTATTTGCTTGGTTGGAAACACGATATTCCCGATTGGGCCAGGACAAGCCAGGCCAGAACAGACCAGGCCAAGCTTGGCTAGGCCAGGACCAGGGGTCTGCCCACGTGTTTTACGTTCGACCGTTAAAAAAATTCGCTTCTCCGCGCCCGCTCGCGACATCCCGACGTGCCTCGACGCTGGTAGACGGTGTATTATTTTTCCGCTGGCTCGCCAAATTGGCTCGCACAGGATCTCGAATTACCGGACACTCGATATCACCGCGTAAAACGCTTCGGCGTCCCGCTCCGTCGCGTCGTCCGGGGCCCTCTCTTTCTGGAATATCCAAAAAGGAGTTCCACAATGTTCTATTGAGCGCGGATCGGGATAATCGAGCATCGGTCCTCGATCTCCTCGTCCTGTCTCCCCGCTCTTCGCACACGGAAACCACCCGCAACCGGGTTTGACGATTTTGACGCGCTCCCGCAGCTTCCCACCGACCTGGATAAATTTTGTCTTTCCTCAACCGAGTTTGTTCGAAGCTTGTGTCGCGTCAATTATGTCATTAACGATAACTTTGCAAAATGTTACTATTCCGTTCAGATTTTTTGTAGTGCTTTTCGCATGGCTATCGTTCGGAAGTTTTTGATTGAAAGCGTGAACGTGATCGTTGAAGCGATTATTTATGTATGTACCTATCAAGAAGTGAGAAGTATTTATGGAAATTATGAAAAGTTATGAAATGATATTATAAACTTTTAATAATATGGGGGAAAATGATAATAAAGTTTAATGAGATAGATCGCGACAGTGTATTTCGTCTATGTATACTGTGAGAAATGGGTTAGATTTTGGATCAGCGATGGAGAAATGAAAAATTACTTTGTCCTTATCATTGAACGCGAAGTCTGAAGTAACAATTTTAAGTAAATACGGGTTAATGGATGCAATTTCATTAAAAGAGCGCTTAAATTGGAGTGATCAGTATTTTTTTATAATAACACAGACTTGGTTGAACAATATCGTTTCATGTAGAATAGAAGTGAGATCGAATAAATGTTTGTGTTCGTGTGACTTGAAAAGGAAACACAAGAATTCTGTTTTCTGCGACATTTACGTTAAAAGGGTTTATTTTGTGGAGTGAGCGAAAAGACCGGTTGAGATCTATCATTTTTCCGCCTCTGAGAAGAAAATTCGCGTGATTTTCGATCGTTGCGCGTTATTCGACGATGAACTTTGAAAGTGTTAAACCCGGCGACACACGACGTGATTTCCTCGTTGGCCATACTTTCCTGGCGTAATGTGTTCTTCCATATGGAAGGCTCTCCGGGCGTAGCCGTAACCCAATAGGCTTCCCGTAGGAAGATCATGCTTCGGTACAAAGGCTGATCGCTACATCGCACGCGATCACGGTGCACGTCATGGAAACTGACGATCTTCATAGCACCATTTGTTCAACCATCCTCCGCACCACCAGTATCGCACCACGTTTATTTTTTTTAACCGAAGTATAGATACGTCTGTTTTATTATATCTGAGAACAAAATACGAAAAATTCATTGTTCGTTAGTTAACTGTAGAAATCATTCAATCAGATGTTTTGATATTTTCGAATAAACGGAGTACATTACGTAATAATAAGCTTCGGATTTTATGCATTTCTTACTTAATCAACTCTGAAAAACACAAACTCATCGTCAATTATCATTTTTCTTTAATGAACAAATATTTTTAAGTGAAAGTACTATTTCGACCTTTTTCCAACTGTAGAAACCTCACGCAAATCGGTTTTTTCATTGTTTTCAAACACTGCGTGATCTATGCGCAATAAGCGTAGCAAACGAAATGCCATTACGTAGAGAAGTAACAATGCGCTAGACGGCTAATATCCCAGAACCACTTCATCTCATTGTTTTCAGCCCTTCATTCCTTTATCTCCGTTTTATACATTTGCATCCAAAAGATGCTTTTCCGGATCGCTTATTCTCTTTGTAATACACTTGCTCGAATTTATTCTAACGTCCCGATAATTGCCTTCCAGTTACGCAAAGTACCATTCATCCAAACCAGAGTGCATCCATTCATTCCTTTGTTTCCTTCGGAAGAGGAGCAAACGGTAGAGCGCAGTCAATTTCTGCTCCCGGTTCGTGACTCTGATCCAGAAAATATCGCGGGTCGCGTTGCTCAAATAAAAAGCGAAGAGAAAAAAAGAGGGAAAAGAAGAAGGAAGCGCATGGTGAAGTTCGCCGGCGCAAAGGGTGCTCGTCGTGTTTCAATTAGCCGCGTTCTGAAAAAAGGTTGCGCCGCGGGCTTGTCGATGCGTGGAAACGGTACTTCACGACGTGCAACCGGCAAAAGAATCATTCGGAAGAAATGAGCCGTCGGCCGCGCTTTGTAACCATTCGAGCTTTTGTTCCTCGAGGACGAGCAACTCCGTTTTCGCACAAGAGATCGGTAAAGGGTTTTCGAAAAACCGCGGCCGACAATAAAAGACGTTTTTTTTGGTGCGCGTATTGTTGCCCTGTGTGCGCGTCAGTGAGATGCTCCGCGGCCGCCATTCGATACGTAGGGATCAAGGGATGATAGAAATGACGAGACGCCACCTCTTCATATTTACACTGTATTTGCCTGGATTTCGACACGTGGCGAGTTATAACAAAGCCTATTGATCTATTTCTATTGCGGACGTCACCGTATAATTCTCGTTTGTTACGTATAAATGGTAAATTAACTGCACAGGATGTTTCAGAACGGCGGGATTCACTCTACAAGCACGTACCGGAGTTTATAAAATCGTGTTTTAGAGGTACCGACGTGTTCACAGTGGCAGTGATTTAATCCTATGAATCTTGAGAAGCGTTCTTAGGTATCTGCGCGTGAATAAATTTGAAACTATATCCTGAAGTATTAAATAAATCAGGAAAAATGTGCGTCAATATGCAACGTATTGAAATTGCGATAAAGGAACGCGTTAATCGGTACAGGTTCGTGAACCTCTATCGCCCCCTTCGATTGTTATATCGTTGACTTTTCGCCGGACTCTGATATCCGAAGAGTTCAAAACGTCAACGATTTACGGTGCTCCCATTGTTGCGTGAAAATATCTTCAAACGGATTAGATAAATTTCTCTGGAGTAAGTAGCTCTTCAAGTGAATTGCGGATACGCAGTACTCGTGAACCGTAAAATGTGTGCATGCAACAGCCACTAACTTTATAGAGTAACCGTTAAATCCCGGAGATTCATGCAAATTTTAATTTTCGTGGAATGTTTCACTTGAATCGAAATCAGAAAAAATACACGAAGTTTGCAGTCTATTTGTCAATCTCTGCCTCTAATATTATATATCATTCTGAAACACTCTATACATAACTTCGTACAAAACTATCAGTTCGAGTTTATCGAGTTCTTAACCTGTAACATATTTCTTTCTTAAGATTCTATTGCTTATCCTAAGTTAATACGTTTCTATTGTATAAAAGATTTGGAATAAGTCGTGGCATAAACGATTTCTTGTGCAAAGATACGAAGTGAATAGTAGGAGGTAAATATTTTACATCCAAGACACTGCATTTGAGAAATATTAATTTAAAATCCTCGTATGTCTTATTGTATATTCTAAATCGTCATACTTGTTATATCTGATGTATGTAACACATGAAGTTTTAGTCATAAATAGCAGTATAGAAAATTTGCATACAACAAAATAAAATTCTCAGACAGAAAATATTACGTTTCGATTGTGGTAAAGTATCATTTCTGTTCCTTAAAGTCAGTTTCTTCAAGAATAGACTTTATATAGGTATATTCTGTGTCATTTGTATTTGTACAAGAAATCATCCAATTTCCGGTGGTACAACGAATTTGTCCGCACCCCGTGCAACGTTCGCTCGATTGTCAGCTCATTCCCCGTTACGATCGACTGTTTCGCCAACAGCCAGAATTCTCACCATATCGTTCGAGGACTCATCAACGTTCTTGTAGGTGACCGTGTCCCGGTTTTTACGCCTGATGTCCCATTGACCGATTGGTCGCCGAAGAAGGAAAAAGCCCGTCGCCAATATAAATGCAACGACAAGCAACAAAATGCACGCCCACAGAACAGGATAAAATACTGCCGACATCCTTTCGCATTTTAGCTCGTTCTCTGGCACTTCCCTTATCTGCTTGTTGCGATACCGTTCCGGTGTGTTACACCTGAGAACAACATATTAAAAATCAAACAAGTTACTTAGTGATACTTTTATTTCAGATTTCAAAGATTGTAAAACAGACATGAACGCTTTTTAAGCGATAAGATGTTAAGACACTAAAATAAAAATAATAGAAATAATAGAAAATTAATTTGTATGTTCAATTGTGGTTTAGTAAATTATATTGAATGTTATAGAATTTTTAAATTTGAAAATCCTCTTTATGATAAGAATTGGTTGCGGTATTTGTAGCGCCATCTCTACAGAGGTGGTTCAAACATATATCTAGTTACCGACTGTTCCCGGTTCCAAAGAAACTTATTTAAATTATTGTTAACGGTAAATTAATAGCAATATTGCGTTCTGTTTACTTACCTAATATCTTGACTAAGAGGTTTTGACGCAAATAATACATGAACCCACATCATCTGGCAATCGCAGTGCCAGGGATTGTTCTCAATGCTCAAAACCGGCGATCTGTTTATTACCACAAGAAGGCTTTGATCGAGCGTTTTCAGACCGCAATCGTTTATCCGGAGCTGTTTTAAGTGTGGTAGAAGTTGTTCGTCGTATTTGATAATTTTCAGCTCGACTAAATTCTTCGAGCCAGTTAGCAACAACGTTTCTAAGCTATTTAAGCCCTTCAAATCATCTAAACACAGTTCTTTCAGATTTGACATGTTATTCAATTTCAATTCTCGTAATTTTGGTAACATGACGTTTTTCAGTTTTGTGATCATAGTGTTGGAAAGATCGAGTTCTTCTATATTGGTCGGTAATGTTGGAATTTCCTTTAGAGGATTGCTCGATAAATCTAACATGGATAAGTTAGTTAACGTTTTGAAAACCTCCGCGGTAAAATACGACGATGATACGTTGCTCAGGTTCAAATACCGCAGTGCTTTCAAGTTCCAGAATGCATTTTCGTGGATCGCATCGTTGATCGGATTGTTAGCCAACGAGAGATATTCCAAAATCTGCAAATAATAAAATTATCATTTGAAATGTTTTTTTTCATGTTAAATAGTCCATATTTTAAAACGCATATCTATGAGATCATCACGACCTCTGTCATTCAAAAAATTACGTATAATCAAATGTTTACCTTGAAATGCTCCATCATGGTCTCGTTGACAATCGATAGTTTATTCGATGATACATCGAGAATCTTCAGTTTCGGAATTCTGTCGTTGAACGCATGGTCATCGATGTATTGCAGGTTATTATGGCTAACATTTAACACTTGCAAATTGTATTCCTCTCTGCAGAGGAAGAAAAACCGTTGAAGATGATTATGCGAGAGATCCAACGTTCGTAGACTCGTTAGATTAGTGGAACAATCGAGGAAACTGTCAAACTGGTTGTCACGGAGAATCAGATTCGTTACTTCCGCTAGAGTGATCTGCGTTTGAAGCTTCAAGAAGAAGTCCTCTTTCTTCAAACCGCGGCCTGACAGATTGAGCTGCAACGCGGACGTAAGTCAATCAACATTAATTTATAATCATCACCTACATTATCAAAGTAGTCCTCTCAGATCAAATAAATTTCGAATAATTTGAATTTACTACGATCCAAAGTATTCGCTCAGGATTTAACCAATGCACCTTCGCGCGCTATTTCAGAATCATGGCGTCTTGCAAGAGAAACATCGATTAACAAAGTATTTGTAGGTAAATCTTTTAAAAAAGAAAACATGTGGTTTGTATCATTCGTATCACAACGAAAGAACGAAACTTACCGAAGTACCTTACTTTTTTACATAAAAATAATTAAATCGTTAACCAACAGAAATTTTGGAAATATAAAATATCGTATAACTGAAAAATTTAAATAGATCTATGCAGTGGGATGAATATTGCTTTATATTTAGTTGGTTCACGTTAGCGACCGCGCGAATATTACCATACGGATTTTTAATTGAACAGCGTCGCGACATGTTAACTGTTACACGCATCTCCGAGATACTGACATTAAAGATAAAAACGAGAAAAAGAAAAGAAAATAAATAGGAAACGTCGTTTCGCAATTGCCACCCACCGTCTTCTGCGAGACCGCCGAAACAATTAACGCGAGGACCGTGATCGTCCGGGGCCACATTGTCCAGGTGGTGGATGAATTTTATCCGGTTCCCCGGTCAAAGACGGACGCGATGCAATTCCGGTTGCTCTCGAAACGGGACCGTCTAGTTTGCAACTATGCTTCCTCACACAACGTTCCGCTGGAATGGCAACGACTTCATCCGAAGCATACACAGCTCACGATCACAGTGCCGAATTAAGAGGGGAGCGGGAGGGCATTCGGCATTCTGATGCACTTGCTCGACCGACGATCGTTTCTTTCTTGTTTTCCTCTCTTTCCTTCGCCTTCCTCTTCTTTTTCTTTCTCGGCGTTGCGCGGCTGCTTGTCGAATCCTCGACCCGACGCCTTTCTATCTCCAACTTGCCACCGTTTCACACGCTATTACCAGCTCCTGGCTCCCTAAACAATTGCAGACATTCCCTTCGCGGCCACTTCACTGAACTAGATCCATGAATTGGCCCCGAAATATAGAAACTGATTCTAGGATATTTTCAAATTCTGGAGGCGCGCGGGATGTTCAGATGTTCGTTGCCTCGAATGCACCTTCTAGTTTCAGGGAATTGGCGGTTAGAGGTTTCTGTTAGGTATCTCTATCGTCACGAAATAAATGTTTGGAATTTAGTTGTAGAGTAGTGAAGAGAAATTTATTGAAGTTCTTATGACCTCATTGAACATTTGAAAATGATTTAATAATGAAGTCTCTGTATGAGGGTTCTCCCTTAAATTCTATTTGTTAGTTTGTCACTGTGCGTTTTATATTCTTCTCCTTTGTTTTTCTTTTAAATTAAGTTTCTTTTTTGAAATTCTTCATTAAATTCGAAGTTAAGTTTTCTTCTCACTGAGGAGCTCGGCCACTATTAATTCCAAGGAAGATGGAATAGCGTTCTCCATGTAGTTGTTCGCAGAGAGAATAGAAATCGAGGACTGACAATGAGACGGATTGTCCGGTGCGTTCGGTTAACGAAAACCGGGAAAATAGTTCTCCGAATGTCCTTTCGAGCTACTCCTCGGGGCGCGCGCGGAATTAATCCGTTCCCGGCGAGTTCAGAATCCGAGAGGCTAACGCACCTCTTTCCCGATATAGCGCGATTATGCCCCGGGTTAGTTTCACGTTCTGGTTTATGTTCATCGACGTTTTTTTCTCTCTCTTTCTCCTTCGCGTCTCTTTTTTTTATTTTTCTTATTTCTGCTAACCGGCAAGCGTCCGAATCGCCGCTTGTTTTTTCAATTAATTTATATTCGCGCGACGATATCGTTAATCGCGAGTGAAATGGAAATAACGACGCGGATAACGCGGCGATGCAACGGCACCTCTTCGTTGCAAACGAGATGTGCGACAAATTATTGTACGCCTGGCGGAAATAGCGATGCCTACAGTCGGTTACAAAAACATTTGATTAAAGATATAGGTTTCACTTTTCTGTTTTATGTTTGGAGAACACGTGGAATTAATTGTAATTAACAGATCTTTAGATGGTTGAAAGGAAATGGAGGAACACTTGGTATTGTGACGAAAATGGTTCAACCGTTGTACGGTTAGTTTCAAAAATTGAAATACTAATTTCTAAACATGTATTAATTTTGTTTACATTCCTTTTGATGTATATGTTTCCATTTTAGTAAATAAACAATGTTTGCATTTTCACTGTGAAAGATTTACATCCAGCACAATTATATTTCAATTTCTTTGTTCATCGACCATTTACGTAAACTGCAGGATATACATGTTAAATTATATTAGTATCTGAGTATCTTTGTGACCGACTGTATCAGCAGGCTTCCATTCGAAGAGAATAAAAACGCGGTTGACAAAGATAAAGCTCGCTACGCGACGCGCCTACAGTAGGATCGGAAAAAGACTCTGCATATGAGATCCCCCACCATTCCTTTTAGGGAAATTCTTCCGTGATTCTGTAGGTTCAGGGCTAGCTGTAGGTTCACGCGAAGAATAACAAATTAGAGAAGATATCTGCAAGGTTGCAAGACAGAATAACAGAACTCGTATATTTCCATTTATGAGATACCATTGCCGAAACTTATTGGTATCAATTCTTGATTTTTGACCTCAGTATTACTGCATTCTTATTTTAAGAAAAAACGATTCCTTTAATGCATTCTTGATACACGTTAAACTGCAATACCTTTTAAAGCTCAATTAAAAATAGAATAACAATTGTTTTTATCAATTTACTTGAAAAATGACAATAAAATTATAAAACCGAAAATTAGAAGATATTAAATATACCAATTATATTGTAAGTAGAAGAATTTCGTAACCATAAGTCGATTATTTCATCAAATGTACCATAGTCATGATAACGCGTTCGCCTATGCGCATTTCATTATAATTAGAGCAAACTTAAATGTCATTTCTGCTGAGTATGTTGAAAGTTATTCATACATTATTTTTTTCCTCTTGCTACCGTGCTTAGTCGCATTTCATAAATAAGTTGGACGAAACTCCTTTCATAAAATAACTTGTGTGTTCATTTTGTGTATAGTTTATTGGAAAAGAGATAAAGACAATGGCTTATTCGGTTACTGTTGTTCAATTAGTTTCATTCGAAGCGGCGGGTGTATACATTTTGATATGGTCACGAGTATCGTGCACAATCGCGAATTGCGCAGCTATCATTCGAGGTATGATGCCCGTGTGAAAGTAGTATAAACAAGAAACTCATTAAAAAGCATCGGACGTTTATTCACGGAATCATATCTTATTCCCAGTTGTGGTGAATGACTGCCGCCAATGCCTCATATACAGTAACAAATATTTTAATATTTTTATCGCGTGCACGATAACGGTGGCAAGACGGTCGTTCACTTTTTCGGTGTTTGCGGTGTACTGGTCGCTTTGAACACCAGCGGATTTGAGACACGAAATATGCTCGGTAACATTGTCGCTAGAGTACCAAACACTTCTTCCGACATTCCCTGTAACAAATAGTCACGTAGCGGATGTGTTTTATTCTTAAATTTTACATAGTTCAAGGGTAACGAACTTCTCTGTCAGAAACCGCGCACACCCCACTACTAAGCAATAGGTACTCCCACCAGTCGACTGACTGCTTGCTTTCATTATGTTACAGTTGATATTAGAACTTATAACGCATATAACATACAAACAATACATATAACAATTCACAATTAATGAAACGTTGAATTGTATATGGGATCACTAGTTCATCGCCCTAAGTAAGAGATTTTGAATTCCAGCTTGAAGAAACTACTGATATTTTTATTGAATTACCTTTGGGACTAGGAATTGTAGATTTTTTAATTCGGCACCACCCCATGATGCCATTTCTATCATGAACCCTTTCACACACTTAAAAACCAGTTCTGCCCGCTTCGTGCACCATGCTACGGTCATATCCTTAAAATTGTAAATGTATTCATTATTCATTAATAGCAATATATTTTGAAAAGTAATTAGTCTTTTAACGAAACACTATCCTACTTCTGTCATTTCATGTACGAGAAGTACAGGAATGGTTAGCGTAGTCACGTCGTTGCAGCAAGCAGTTTTTAGAATATTTCGCAATCCTAGAATCGCTGGATGCCTTGAATTGATATCGCCTGCGATTTGAAAGAACATTATAATTCACGTAAGAAATGATTAAAAATGACAGCAATATGAGTCACATACCGGATCTCAAAGAATCATTCACGACCATATGGAAAATTACATGAACTTGTGCTAAATTCGAATGCCTTGTAATGTAAACGTCTCCTGTCTGTAAGCTCTTGCTTGTTGTGGATTTTTTCGTCTGTAAATAACATATATACACAATATTTTAGAATAATGATCAGGTATTCTACACTTTTTTAATTTTTCACCTGTGAGTCGTTTGCTTCTTTATGATGCGTTTGCCTCCACGCGATAGCGTCCTTGACATCGTCTCTTATTTTTTCTAGTTGTTCATCAATTGGTGGGAAATGAAACTCCGTTGTCAATTGACATATAGAGCATAATTCTGTAAAGGAGATAAATGAAGAAAGAAATCCAGGGATAGTATAAAATTAACATTTGAAGGCTACCCTTTGTAATTCCAGAATAAGTTCCTAAGTGATTGTCGCTCAATAATACTAGCCCACACAAATCATTAGAATACAATCCTAAAGCTGTCTGCAGTCTCTGTGGGGTTGGATCCATTCTATATAACAATAAACATCTCTTTCAAATTCAATGAAACTTTCTTTTCGATACTAAATTTGTATTTTTTTCAATGACTTACCCAGATTCACTCTTTTTTGTTCTACAAAAATCTAGCACATCCCCTGTTAATATACGTATGTTATGCATTTGTTTCATTTGGGAACCCAAATGTATAGTGAAACTTTCCTCCAAAATGGGATAATCTGCAGTTGTTTTATCTTCACTATGAACAAAATTGTCTAAAGCAGGTCGAATCGGTGGTGTTGACACCATTGGAGAACCTCTAATGAACGTATACATTTATAATTATTAAAATATCATTGTGATTGTTTGATTTGTTTGCATAAACATACACTGGAGTCGGTAACATATTTGTCTGCTGCTCTTCCAATAGTCTCATGATCCAATTTCGATATTGTCGTTTTTGTTCTAATTTCAAAGCATCTACCCTTGATCCCCAGTGCCCCTGCAGTAAACTTTGTTCTTCAAAATGTCTACCAGCCATCTCATTTATGGATTTTTCAGTGGAACCAGCCTCCAGAGCTTCCACAGCCTTACGCATTTCTTCAGTTTGCCTGAAAAATTTATTTCCTGATTGTTTCTCCTTTGTATATTCTTAAAATAAGCAGTGGATTAGTATTGGAAAAAGTAATAATTTAAAATCAAGATCATAGTATTGGAAAAGATAAAGAATCAACTGAATTTGTAAATTACTGTTTGATAAAACAAGATAAGGTAAAAATTTAATTATGTCTGCAGATCACTTATTACAGAATTTAGAAGTGAATTTTCTCTAATTAAATAAAAAGATCATTGACTGTCTAAATGTAATCTCAGTTATATTGTGACTGTTGATGGTCTGCACAAAAAGGTCAATGTAAGTGATAACGTGAGACATACGTGTTATTGTAGAGTAGATATTGTTATGTGAATTTTGACCTTTCTTTTCTAGCATGATAAGAACAGGAAAATGTGAGAAAAAAAACAAAACATTCAGTTAATGGAGCATAAAGATTGCATGTTACTAAGCAGAAGACATAAACTGCTAAGAAGTTACATACATATTTAAGAGTTTAATTGAAAGTTCTGTATATTGGTATTATACTGTATAATTTAGTATAACAATTTAAATACTAACTTTTGAGTGAGTTGCTCGTAATGTGTATCCCTCATTTGAATGACTTCTGTTACATCTCTTCCAAATTTATGTTCTGCTTGTAAAATGGGTTCCAATGATGGGGAGTGTACTAATCTATGATATGCAGCTGCAAATAACTCTTCATCAGTTGTTCCAATTGGATCTGCATATTCTGCTGTTTTCTGTTTATAAATTTTTTCCCAGTTTTTTATAATCTCTTCAATATCTATGCTTCCTGATATTGCATTTTCAAGTGCTTTCTCAGCTTTTTCATCATAAAACTGTAACGTTAATTCTTTAATAGCATGTTCCAAAGATTGTAATAAATCTGATTCTACATAACATGGCAATTTAAACGATGAAATAATGCGATGCATGAGTTCTTTAACTGAACCATGGTATGGTATTTTTAATGGTATTTCCAATACGTATTCTTGATTTGTTGTGCATGTTGGGAACTTATACACAAAGGTTTTCTCCACATATTCTTCCTCTGACATATTCATTTCTCTTGCAACAGTTTTTCATTATATTTAATAATTCATATGTCTATTTCTAAAAAAATAAAAGGTTAAAATGATTAGTATTAGTATTTAATAGTATTAGTTTTTAAATAACATGCAGATATAAAGAAATATTAACATATGTATATATCATTGAATGTGATTAATGTTATTTGTTTTTGGCGAATAATATTTTTCAAGGGTCAACTTTCATAACATTCAGATTGAAAGGTCATTGATAATGTGTAAAAGCATTTCTGATTGCACCTTTTATCTGCATGCTTTTAAAAACAATTATTTTCATGTATTAATTGTAATGGCTTTGGATTTGCCTTTCAGATAAACTTTGTTAATATTCTCCATTAATATGTAATAAATAATATAAATTTAAGATTACTGCTTAATTAATTAGTGCTTAAATCTAAGAGAACATTCAACAGTCTATAACATTATAATTAATATGAAAAGAACAAAATTTTAAAAGTGTTTTCAATATCATCCTAAGAGGGCGCTGCTATAAGAATCATTTGTTTATAATTGTTTCATATTTGAATGTTACATGAAAAACAATGGTACTGATATTTTATTGTTCGGTGAAACATTAATACTTTTAATATTAAATATCATTTGACAAGTATTAAATTGAAATAATAGAATTATTATACAGTTACTTCCATCTAACCTAAAAGTCTAAAATTATGTACTTACAAGTTATTTTTCTTTCAATGATTGACTTGTCCTGCACTGTTAAATCGTGTATTAGTATTTAGAAATGATTTTTCACATTATTCTTCAACACAACATTCTAAATAAACAAACAATGCACTCACATAATTCTGAACACCTTTCAACGCCCCCCAGACATTTAATAAGCAGTTTCTCCAACACAAATATTTTCACGCATCAATATTATTTCCATAAACTTGTAAACAAATGTAACATTTTGTAATCTAAATTCGTTTTACATATTCAGCATTAAAAATTTTAATTTATACCTTAGTGGATAACCTGCATTCTGTTTCTTATATTTAAAATAATAGTCTGTTATGTTGCCTACACTATAAGCGTTGCAAAGTGTCGGTACAATTTGAGATACGCTTTTTGGCGGTTGTAAATTTTTAAGGATAAAATTAGTATTAGTAAAATGGTTGAAAATAAAAATCAAAACGTCGAATTGACTGATCACGAAGCTGAGTTATATGATAGACAAATTCGCCTCTGGGGTTTAGAATCACAAAAGCGGTAAATATATTAGAACCTAACCTATCAAACAAGTAATTTAAATAAAACGTTTAGTTCTTCATTATTCACTTAAATTTACATACAAATTTTAATGTTATGGTATAATGTCGAATAATTTCAGCTTACGCGAAGCTAAAGTTTTATTAATAGGCCTAAATGGTTTTGGAGCAGAAGTAGCAAAGAATATCATCTTAGCTGGTGTAAAATCAGTTACATTTCTAGATCATAGAAATGTAACAGTTGAAGATCGCTGCTCTCAGTTTCTAGCGCCTAAAGAACTGATGGGAAAAAATGTAAGTAAATAGTTAAGATAAAAATATAAGTACATTATTTTTATATAAATTATGTCTTTAGAGGGCAGAGGCATCTTTACAAAGAGCACAAAATTTAAATCCCATAGTTAATATCGAAGCAGATACATCTAATGTTGATGACAAACCAGATGCATTTTTCAGTAATTTTAATGTTGTTTGTGCAACACAATGTTCCATTACACAAATGAAAAGAATTAACGAAATATGTAGGAAACATAATGTGAAATTCTTTTCCGGTGATGTATGGGGAACTCTAGGATACACTTTTGCAGATTTAATAGTGCATGAATATGCAGAGTGAGTACATAATTAATTGATATTTTAGGACGTTTAAAATAAGTTATTACATAAGAAACTAATAATCATAGGGATGTAGTACAATCAAAGAAAATTCAGCTCTCAGAAAGTGGAGAGCCTGCAGAGAAACCAAAGTTTGAAAATATAACTGTAACAGAAAAACATAAAGATACCTTCGTGCCGTTTGAATCAATTTTAAATGTTGACAAATCTTCTGTTCCCAAAGAATCTGAAATATATTATATGATGTTAAGTAAGTGTAATATATGATTTTCATAATTTTTAAAGTAATGCAATGTGTTACATCTTTTCATTATATATACACCTTTATTCTGCACGCATTACTAAAGTTTAACAATAGTAATCAGTTTTACATACCATATTTTCATCTTTAGTAATGCTTCATTACCGTGAAAAGTATGGCAAAGATCCTTTGCCCAGTGAAAGGGCTTCTGAGAGTTTTAAAGCTGAAGCAGAAGCGGTTATTAAAGAATATGAGCTCGAGGATAAAATAAATCATCTAGTAGAGTATGTATAATAGAAAGTAGCAATTTTTCAGTATATGCAGCACTTTAATTATGTTTAATAATTTATCATAATCCGTATCGTGAATTCAAGGGGTGACGTGTATGCTCAAATTAGCCCAGTGTGCGCTATCGTCGGCGGTGTAATGAGCCAAGAAATAATTAAAACAGTTTCACAGAAAGGCGCACCACACAATAACTTATTCATCTTTAATCCAGATACATTATGCGGGAAGATTTTGAGATTGGGTCAGTAACGACTATTTTTCGTCGTCGGTATGTTTCATTGTTTCGGTGCACTGTTATTGCCATAATTATTCTTTCCACCAATTCTTATTCCATGTCTTTTGCTACAAAATTTGAATAAATGTTTGTCCAACAAAGCAACATCATTGTGTTCATTTGAAATAATGTTCCTTTAAATTATGCACACTATGTATACACACATAGCATTGTTCAAGAACTATCCAAGTATGTTAAATGTTCCCAATCTGTTAAATAGTATTTAAGATATTTTAACACATTGAGTGCCATGTGGGGGCCGTTTCGATAACTTTCTATAAGAAGAATCATTATACAGCCCAAGAAAAAAAAGCACATGCTTTTAAATTCATTTCTTTCTCGATAACAATTATTTTTTCCGATATGAATGGAAAGTCACGTGAATTGAGCGCAGCACTCAACGGGTTAACGATAAATATTGATATAAAACAAGTTATGTATATTTACCAATGGGAAAGATTATTTTATGAGACTTTCCCCGGTATTTAGAAGACACTATATAGACATACTGTCACCTCGGTTAACTGCATTTTGCCTGTGGTCGTTCGCGGAGTTCCAAAATCGAAAACAGTAATATCGGTCGAGTTTTGGAGCTCTTTGCATTTATAATATTACCTCTCGCATTATTGCATTCTCCCGGTTATATCCTTACACGTGCTTTTCTCGCTATTATACCATTGCCAGGGATGTGAATGTTCATTGTACGCGGGCACACACGCAGTTGTGGTAAATGTCGCCTATCGCAAGCTCACGCACGTCATAAGATATTTTCGTTCAGTGCCTGGAAGGGGTCCTCGCGTACGTGGAAATATGACTCACTTTCCCTGGCTTCCGCCGGGGCAATTTGAGACCCGCTTTGTAGATTTTTTTTTTCGTGCCCTCTCACGCGGAAAACACGGCGGGAAACGTAAAATGGAAATTGAAAAATTGGAAAAAGGGGAAGCGAGCCCGGAGCACGGCTCGTTATGCTTTATCGGCGCGCCGATATTACCTACGCCGCTCGCGACAATCTCCCTTTTTTTCAGCCGTCTGTTATTCAAAAACCGCTTTCGTCGCATTCGGAAACCTCACCGATAAAACTGTTCCTGTCACCGTTGCAACTTAATTGACTTTATTCATCGAGAATCGGGCTAATTGAGCCCCCGCTCCGCCCAGTTACACTGTCCCGCCATTCCTGCAAGTTCGTTTGATTGCCTCCACGCCGATGATTCCGTTAAGTCCACAGCAAAGCCCTGTATGTCGCGCGCCCGACGAAAGTTAACACATTACGTATGGGGGAATTATTTAATAAGATTCCCAGATCCGACGATTAACAATTTCGCGGCTGTTGAATTCTCTGATTCCCTGAAACCGAGGGGGAAATACACCGAAACAGTGTTCGTCGATTTCTATGAAATTCTGGTAAGAAGTGATTCTTATCAAAGTATTTTACATATATTTCTCTTACCAATCATTATTTATACTAGAAAGATAATAACATCCTCAAAAAAATGATAAATACGTTTCATTAAATATCTAATGAAATTGTCTGCACTTCATATAAATTTGTTAGTCACAAGTTGACATAAATTACGTAAAATCATCGACGCATGTCCATCCCAATATTACTACGCTAAATCGCGAAGAATGCAATTATAAGTACAATGGTTTCGGATCAATATACTTCACTGTAAAGCCGTAAACAGGTTCGATGTAGAAGGGATGCGACACCGCGGCGAGAAGTCATCGCGGTGTGGCATCGTCATCTTATCGCTGGAGAACGAGACGCTACCGCTCACGCGAAATCCCCCGTTGCTTTTACCTGCGTCTGACGCACACGTAGGTGGCCGAGAATTGATTCGATTTTCACCAGGGAATTATGATGTATCGTCTTTCCCCGTGAACGTACGGTGTCGTTACACAAACCGGCGATTACTGGCCGTGGCCGTATGTAAATGCGAATATCCCGGGCTCGCGTGTATGCGAATCCGCTCCCGGTTGCAGTACATACACGCATACGCGTGCATCACGTGTTTCTTAACGATCCGGTCACGTGCTTTTCACGGCTGTCGAATTATGTTCCATCGCGGATGCTCCGCTCTGCTCCTCTCGAGAAACCATTAGCGTGACACGATCTCATCTTCGTATGAACGGCTGCCCTTCGTCTTTCCAACTCGACATTTTGTTAACGCGCCCGTTTGGCTGGGGGTGGGTCGCGTTTATACACGACTGGTTTGCACGCCGTGTACATTCCGGGACCGCGGCTAATTCTATTGACTGACGATTTATAAATTTAATGGTTCGATGTCGTTCGAATTGGGGATCTTGAATGGATATCCTTCGCGGGGTTGGTTCCGGGATGTTTTATTAGATAACATGGTTTAATAGGATTGGTAGTGATGTTTGTGTTTTGAGTTGGATGAGTTCGAATAATTCATATCTGGATGGGGAGTGTTCTATGTTCAGTTAAGGAAATTTCCAATCGCAATCTTTTTTTAGGGTTCTTAGAAGGAAAACCAGAAAATGTTAAGTATCCGAATAAGATGATAAATATTTCTTGTAGCCAGAAAAAAGGTGGAATGAACGAATGTTTGATTATTCCGTGGAGGATTAAGTAATTAATCAGCACAACGGGAATCGTTTTGTACCTGATATGAATCGGTACAATTGTTATCACTGCCGTGGCCCGACTTTATCGCTAGAGTTACGTTCACGATGTTCGTGTATCAGCACCGTGGAAATGCGCGCAGTTGCTGTAAAATATGATCGAGCGGCACAACAATTTACTTCCCCTTCCATCCCCCCTGTCGTCCTAGATCCACCATGAGCGATGTTATCTCACGGGCAAATAGGCTAGAAGACGTACAGGTACTTCCCGTGAGTCAGCTAAGGAATTTACCAAGACTACTGTCACGGGTGCCGCGTATACATTCACTGAATCAATACGACACGTACGCCCCTAGGAATGTTAAACGACTGCGGTGGAGCAAACATACAGGAACGGGTATTTCATTACGAGCGATACGGCTGCCCAAATATTCCTTTGAATTGCTGTTTAACGTCGATTTGTGTCTTGCAAATTCAACTGCACGGCGCACTATCGCCGTATAAGGGATTTAACCCGTAGTAGTGCAATTGTAACATCCGCGTAATTTTGTAATGTTGCGTTTTCGAAGATAATATAGAAGATAAGAATATTCATGCAGAATAATAATATAAAGCAACCTTGACACTTTAAGTATTAAGTAACCACTAAAGGAATAAACAATACTTAATCAACAAAGATCCCGGAATCTCAAAAATGTTAGGTATCATGAATCTTTTCGTAATGCATCAAATACAATTGAATTGATTCTTCGTTGCGAAAGTGAATCATTTAGCTTCGTGCGATACAGTTATCAATTATTATTACTAAACACGCCCGCATCGTGAAGGTCGGCGTTCAGCATCGAAGAGGCGCGAAACAGCCGACAAGTCGCGGCATTTTTCCCCCATAAATTAGTTTGACGCGCTTCAATCTGTTCCTCTCGGGGGCCGAGGCGTGAACTATGCCCGGACGCATTTGTCGTAAGGAACAAGAGAACTGGTTTGTCAGCCACTCTCGTTTCGTGAGGCGTTCCGCGGGCGGGGGAGGGTGCGTGCCGAAGAAAAAGGAGTCGCGAAGGGTGCGCCCTTCACGCGTCCCGGGCTGCAACGGCTGATTTATGGCGCGACGAAAATTATTGCCGCCGTTAAAATACCTCGAGGCGTATTTATTGACAGACACGCGTTCGCCTCCGCGAGACTGATCCCGTGATGCGAGCTGGTCCTCGACGGAGGACAAGACTGTACTTAAGCCGCCTCTAAACGCCGGTTGTAAAGCCTCCGGCGTAAACGAATCGGCCAAGGGATCGTTTTCGGCCCGGAACCCACCGCGTTTCTTCCAAATATGCCACTTTAACGGCCGGCCATTCCGGCTTCTGGCATTGAGACCCAGCTTCCAGTTGTTTTTCAACCGTGCCACGGAGAAATTACTCTTCACCGTGTGATTCAAGTGTTCATGCTCCGAAGACTTCACTTCACCCCGTTTTATTTGCTTCACCGTTCGCGTTCACGGTCGTAACGTTTATTCATAGTTAAGGCTTCTATGCTACTATTGAAAATTTTGGAAGTAGTCATTCCTCCAACACTTATATTAAGTAATCAATATTCCTACAAAATTCGTTCCAGTAAAGTTCATTTACCGGTTCTAACTTCATAACCTTTCTATTACGTATATGCCCTAAAAAATGTCCAATTTTCATGAGACAGGAGTACAAACCACAGCATCTGAAAATATTAACCGTTCCTCAGCTTCCTTTCCAACCCCGGGATAATACAAGTTCTCCTACTTCGTTTCGTTAAATCGCAGTCGTAATATTCGAGGAAGGGATTCGCAGCGCAAACTGCTTCGCAGCAAAAATTGCGTACGTGAGGCAACTGCTTACGACATCGTTCGGGCGCTGGTCGCTTCCTATTTATACTGGCCGAAACAATGTTTCCTCCTTATCAGTGTCTTATTGTTCTCGTCGCGACTCGGTTTATTAACTTCCACGGCCCACCCCCGCCCCTTCAACGGCTGCGTCGCCGTGTTTAAAGGGTTCCGTCGTGCTAGCACGAAACCCGGGGTTGACTCGTAGGTGAAACTCCGCGGAGTCGAAGGATGAACGCATAAAAAGGCTTTCATGGCCCGTTCCCTGACCGTAGGGACATCATATTTTCTCGTGGAGTCGCGCGGATCACCGGGCTAGAGTGCATTAACAAAATAACGTAATAAAATCTGCCTGGCACCGCCTTGACAGCTCCCCTACGACCTCTCTCCGGCCGTCCCTCGTCCAGCAAGTCGTTTCTTTCTCTCGTTCCTCTTTTTCTAGGTGGCCGCTCGTAAAATCGGATACATTGTGCGGCCGGCCATGGCGTATTCGTCATGTCTACGACCGAAGACACGCGATCAACTAAAGGATTGACCCCGCAGAACGTCCACGAAACCTCTCCCACACACCCGTACCTAACGCGGCAGTTCCACGAAGCATCGATTCACCGGGTAAGTCGCGCGAATACGTCCTGTCACGGCGAAGTTTTTTATGCGACCGGCGAACCTTCGGTATTCGCTGGTTTATCGTGACCGTTTGCTGGATATTTTCATTACCCTCGACCGAACGAACGGGCATCACGTCGCGATCGGATTGTCGCGTCGGCGTGTATTTACTGGAGACTTTGTAGATTCGTACGGTCATAAGTCTTTCGGTTTATGGGGACGAAACATTGAATTTTTCCACATTTTTGTGATGCCTTTACTGCTGAGACAGTACCCTTCTTAATATAATAGTAATAATGGTACTTTAAATGTTGATCCAATTCAAAACATGTAACATGAGAAGCAAAGTTGTTTTAAGAATAGAAAATAGTCAATTAGAAAAGTAAGATAGGTTCCCAATCTAATCATCATCCTTAATTTTATGATCCTAACAAGAATATTTTAACCCTTTGCACTCGAGAAGTGATTCTTAACCACCACTTGATTTGACATAACATTATAAAGTTTTGTATATAATATTAAGCTTTGTATATTACATCAATACGTAAAACATTGAAATGAAATAGCTTCGTCCTTAATTTATGTATATGTTCTCATTAGTTTCAAAGAATATCGTCTATATCCCATAAAAAAACGTTGCATATTTCTAATAACAAATGCTCGAGTACACATGGTTGAAAAGGACGTAAACGACTGTCCAGTTGCTCCATCTTGTAATCTCGTCGGTCGATTGATAAGGTATTCGCGTTTCGTCGGGATTCGGATTTCGAGCTTGATCCCGTCGCAATATTCCCGGACTTTACGAGCAGCCATCGCATCGGTGGCAGTTCAGAGAGTTTTTAGAGTCAAACGAATAGCTAATGCGAGCACGCCTCCGCGACTAGCATTATTTCACCTCCTCCTTTCACAGACCGATGTTAGTCTGGACTGGCTGGAGACACGGCGAACCGTCTCGCCCGTACTCGACCCCATCCACGTCGGTCCTCTCTCGCCTTCGGGAGAAGGCATTACGCGAGATCTTAATGATCTTCGTTACCAATTAAGACACGGTCGTTGCAATTAATTCCGCGGCCGGTCCTGGAAACGAGAACCGGAAACGGCATCGTCTTACGAACGCGACGGGGGTGGCTGGCTCTCTCCTTGTCCTCTCCTTCGACGTCGGGATGAATATCCTTAGCGATGTGCGCGCAACTAAACCAGCTCCCGGGACCAGCCACGACTAACGATCCTGATTAGGAGAGAGCACTCCTCGGGCCTTGTCCCATTTCGCTCGACAATGTCCGCCCCTATTGCGACGGTAATACAAGCGTTCGGGGCCGGCGCAGAAACTAGAGAGACAGTTTTGTCGCGCGTTTCGTTGGTACATTGAGTTGTATAAGGAACTGGATCAACTCCAGTGACGATGACTCGAGAAATCAGGTTGCTTGAAAATTGTTTAACTCTAGCATTGACGCTGTGATATTTGTTTATTGCAGGTTTGTAATGAATCTCCGGGTATCTTTATATTTAATTTGTATTGTATGAGTAGAATAATATAAGGGCAAGGGAAAGGTATTTGAGAATTGAAAGTTTAGAGGAAGTTTTGTACGGGGTTGCGTAATTACTTTGTTCATTTTAAATGCTTTTGTTGTTTAGGATAATATAGTGTTGTAATATAGTAGTGATAGATGTGTTTATCTTTTAGAATGGGAAATGCGATGGTCAGTGGTTTCGGAAGGCTATTATTAAAGATTTTCTCACTGGATTTGCATAGAGGGACTGAGATTATAACATTTTAAAGAAGTTTATTAATTAGGCTTCTAAACTACTTTCAATGAATGACTGTAAAAAGAGAACAGCTAGGTTACTGTGGGTTAGGTATAGACTCGTGCGTTGATTGAAGTAATCTGCAACAATGCCATGCGGGTTGTCTGCTCGAGGGGTACCGTAATTACTCTTAATTGAAAGAAACCTTCATTGCATCTACTCTCTCTAATCATGCTGTATACGTATATCCTACGCTGTCTATTACGATCTTTAAAAATAATATCTTCCACTTTCATTATATAGGATTCAATTTATTTACATGATAGATAGTTTAAATACATGTCCGTTAAAAGGTACAACACTTTCGAGAGAACTAAGAACTACGATCTTCATTTTATCTATTTTAACTAATATTTATTAATGAATATTATTAATATTTAAGCTCAAACTGATGGAGTATAAATTACTAGAATATTGTTTGGAAGTGTCAATACAAGACGTTGTCGCATGGAGACTTTGGCCCCAGGATCTCGTCAGTGCTAAGCTGTCAAGTCCCCAAGGCACTGAAGATTCTCCAGACCATCGCACGCCAAACTTTGCTTCTGTAGCACCTGGTCACTATACTCAGACCTAGGCTACTCCATAAATAGTCCCACTTTCTTCAAATGTTTATTGCGAAGTGAATTCCTTCAACATTATTATATCCCATACCCTAATTTAAAGAAAGGTATCCAACGAAAGGTAAGATCTCAAAATCCCCAGGACACGAAGTGAACCACCTCGCAGAAGCGTACCAAAACCAAACTTTTCAGGATAGGTTTTGTTAACCGGGCGACTTGCAATTGATTCTCCATTAAATTCATGGCTACTCATAACGAATTCATCGGTTACCGCCGCGACGAAACTCGTCGGCGGCCATGAATACTTGGTCAGAAGGAGGAAGGGGGGAGGGTGCGCTCTCTGATATTCCAGACTCGATCGATTCTGGTGGAAAGGCAAGAGTGTGCGTTTGTCCGGGGCTGTTGACCCTCTCTCTCCTTTTCCTTTCTAGTTTGCTCTCTGCATAGGCGTAAATTATAATGCCGGGGCTTAGAGAGCTACACTCTGACAAATTACAGGTTTGTTCTCCGGCCACCGGGACGCGCGTCGGAGATAGATTTCGTCGCTCCATCACCGTCGGCCCGACCGGACTCGCTCGCGCGGCTATGCATATTAATTCAATTTCGGCCCGCAACCCTCCGCGTCGTTTGGGAAACGCTGCCTGCCCTCACCCGGACCGCCGCGCTTTCTTTCCTTTTTTCCTCTCCGCGATATCCGCCTTGCGTTTCGAGGCTTATTCCGTGTTCGAAACTTTTAGATTAATTACAGCCCGCGCGCCGGACCCCCGTCGTTGCATTAATCTTGTCGCGCGAGCACGGAATCATCGACGTTGAAGGGTCAACGCTGCGCTGGTGTCCTGACGCCCCGTCAGACAAATCGGCGATCGTAATTGTTATTCGGGACGCGTGCGTTTCATTTTCGTCTCATCGCTTTGTAACCCTTTGTTTAATTCGGGTAAGTCGATCACGTTTGATTGGTTTTTCAAACAGCAGTCGAAAGTATGTAGCTTTAACTAAATGTTTCTCTAACCACTCAACAGCAGAAATGGCGAGTAAATTGACTTTTTGAAGATTTTCTGTAGAAACTCCAAGAGTGCGCATATTAAGACTTACCAGTTATCTTTTCAATAATTGGCAGAACAAGTCGTTTTGATCTGTCTGAAAGTTCTAGTGTTAACTAATCATTTTCCTGTGTCTGTAATGTTTCTTTGAACCACTGGATACTTTTTGTTTCGAGGAATGATTTTAACCAACGATCAATTCACTTACCGGTAAATCAAAATTCAATTGAAGCCAAATTATAAACGTACTTCTTTAATTCAATCCCAATGTGGCTCCGACATCAAATAGTAACGTAAAACTCTTTTCACCATTGTTGAAGATCTTTTAAATATAGATTCACTGGCCTTTCTTCCGCAGTCTGCAAAGAAATTCCCATCCCCACGCCCCTGGAGAATTCTTCTCGACAGAGTCTTCTTATTAACCCCATTACACGCTCTTTCCGCGTATCGTCTCCGTCGCAAGCTCTGCGAGTATCCAGCGAAACAGAAGCGCGCCGACGGTCGAGACGAATTGTTAAATCGTCCCGTTCCCTCGAACCGAGAAAGAATTTGTCATGTTTCTTCGCGTAGCTGCTCGGGAGGGTTGAGCGTTGGGTCGGGTTCTTCTTAAACTCTGCGGAAAAGGAACTCTCGAGCTGTTTGCGCGGGGTGGGATAGGCTAGGGCAAAAAGTACGGAAGAGGAGAGGCCGCGAGCGCATCCGTTAAATTACAATGGGTACGTCCGTCGCGAGCGTGTTACAGTGTTTTCATCCGCATATGCGGAAAAAGGAAAAGAATCGGTGAGCAGGAGTGTGGCGTGGCGAAAGGAGAGCGGAGGTGAGAGGGAGGAAACGTATCATAAGTTACCGAGCAGGCAGAGGGGCCCGTGACGTCTCCGCGCAGTCCATATTTCATGCTTTTGTTCGATTCTGTCGGGCATTATTTTAGGTTACGTCGAGAAATGCTTTCTGGATCGCGGTTTCCCGATCTCCACCCATTCTCCCCCCTGCATTCCCTTTTCTTCTCTCTTTTCGCGACGTCCCATCTCCTTTTCCCGCTTCCAACCCCGATAACCATGGGAAAAATATGTCGAGTTTCCTGCCTTCGGCCGGCCAACGTTACAAGGGCTACGCAATTTCGTCCTCCGCCTATCGACACGCTCGACATTGTTTGCTCTTTCAGACGAGTCGGACAAACAATATTCGACGATCGCGCGTTAGAAGCGTTTAATTTCAAAGTATACAAGGAAATGTATACGGATGCGTTCTACGAGCTTCGATCGCGACAGGAAAACGCGCGCCGCGCTGGCTAATCCGATTTCGCGGGAGACGAGACGCAAACACAGGGATTTCCGTTTTTCTTCCTCGTTCTTCTTCAATTTCTTCGTCTCCTTTTTTTCCTTGTCCGTTCTTCGTCACCGGGATTCGCCGCGAATCATTGCTTTTATTAAGGGGACGCGTCGCGCACACAGCTGGGTGGAAATAGGAAACGTTATCGTGCTCGATGGAACGATCCTTTTAGAGGATTTGTGTACGGTTTTATGGTAGAATTGCGATGAAGTTATGGTTTTTCGAACGATGTCGTTTATAGTCCGGGTAAAATATTAACGACACTGAGGAA